CCAGCCTGGTCACCGCTAACTGCCCTCCCCTGCCGGCCTGGTTGCTCCTATTAACTTTTTTTTTTTTTTAAATCTTATCCCCTTTATACACAATTGTATTTGATTTCCTTATTGGCTTCTCCCTCTCACATACTTTTTCTCTTTCTTTTATGCAACACTTTTTCCTACTGACTCATCATTTATAGACTTTTCTTTCCTCCTTATTTCTACTTCCGTTCCATCATCCTTCTTCCTATTTTTCTCCTACCCTCCCTCCCTCCCCACATTCCTTCTTTCATCTTTACCCCTGTCCTCCCTCCCATTTTCCTTCCTCCCCCCCTTAATTTTTTCTTCACTTCCTCCCGCAGACCTGCTTTGCTCCCTCTCCCATTTCTTTCTTCTCCCTATTCTTCTACTAAGCTCTACCAGCTCCTCTTTAAACTTTTCTTCTCTCTCCTGACTTCCCTCTTCCTTGCACACTTCACTGTCTATACTCAAGATGGTAGTGGTCTGCTACAACGTAATTCACGTTACGTCATTCAGCTGCATAAAGTCCTCCAGCTCCCTCAAATGCAAGTCCCGAGGTCTTGCACGGTGTTCAAGGTCTTACGGAACTTGCCTCCTTTACCTGTCAGATATAATGTCTCCACTTCCCTTCATGCAGCTGCAGCCTCATTGCCGCCTTCACGGTTCATAGGACACAAACTCATTCCCGCTTGGTTCCGTGTTGCGGGACACGTCCTCCAGCTTCCTCAGGCTCTGCTCCTGTGTGCCACTTAAGTCTTTCCTCAAAAGCACCTCAAACATGCTTTGGAGCCTCTATATTTAAAATTTCAACAACCCTCACACACAGTGCACCCAAACTATTATATCCCCCTTTCCTTCCCATATTTTTCTTCTTAATTAACTGAGCGGGACCTATAAATACGTCAAACGTAAACAATATCGGGAACGGGTAGGACGTATGAATATGTCCTTGAAATATATGTTGCGCCCCGAGAGGGATGGTATATATTTTTTGTAATCGTTTTTTAAAAATATTTTATTGATTTTTTTACAGAGAGGAAGGAAAGGGGAGGGATAGAGAGTTATCAATAGAAATATCAATGAGATGAGAGAGAAACATCGATCAGCTGCCTCTTGCAACCAAGGTACAGGCCCTTGTCCAGAATCGAACTGGGGACCTTTAGGTCCGAAGGCCGACGCTCTATCCACTGAGCCAAACCGGTTTCGGCTATTTTTGTAATCTTTATCATTGTTTGTAAAATTTATAATTTTTTAATTAGACGTGTCCATTTTTTTTTTATCGGTATTCTTTTCTATTTTTTTTGTAATTTTGTATTTTCCTTTGTGCTTTATATATATAAATAAACATATATATATATATAGATAGATAGATAGATAGATAGATATTTCATTTATTTTCATTAAGTATAAATAAAAAATAATAATATGAAATTACGTCCCCCAGGCTTGACGTACTGACACGTCCTAGTGAAAGAGTACGCGCCCGTTACAGGTTGTGTCATTAAAAAGGGAACTCCCGGTTAACAGGTTAACACATCAATAGCTAATATTCAATATGTTTTACTGGGTCCTCAGCCCCTAGCACAGTACCTGAAACTACAGATACACTTGGTAAATATTTGTTAATTTAATTAAATATCTGTGCTAGGGAATGTTCCAGCTTTAAACCACATCGCAAATACATTTAAAATGTATGCATTTAAAAGAATGTACCTGCATATAAATGTTAACTTACTTTGGAAATGAGTTTATAATTAAAGTAATTTCTTTATAATACCTATGAAGCAGTATTTTTAACACAACTTTCATTGGCTTTAATGACCATTAGGTTTTTGTCATTTTTATGATTTTATGGTGCTCCTAAACAGAAGATACTGCCATATTCCTGCTTTTATATTATATAGTGAAATGTTTTGCATACTAAAGTAGGTATGTAACTATATAATCATTAATATCTTTTAAAAATGCTATTAGACTTTATGTAGCTATAACAAGGGATTCTTTGATATATTAGGCAAAGGATATCTTTCATGATGTAACTAAAACATTATTACTGTTACTTTGCTTTCTGAAAAAGGATGTTTACTCAACTATGTTTTTTTCTTTGTTTATCTAATACTAATTTTCCAATACAGCAACTTTTCCCTCGCTAAAAATATTACCAATATAATATAATATAATATATATATATATTCTCAAGCCTTTGAATGCATCAAGGAAATGCAGAACGCATTATTGAGAAGTAGATGCGAATTGAATTTATTTGAAAATGGAAGCACTTAACATACCTGCTGTGCAGCCATCATTAGAGTGTGGTAAGCTGTAGTTTTAGGCTCAGTTTTGCTCGCAGTACCTAACTCATTATAAATTTACCCATATTTTTTCTTTAATTTAATAGCGTTTACTTTTCCCCATCATCTCCTGCCTTTAAAATAAGCGAACCACAAACTTTTGATTATGATCCCGCAGCCAGCGAAAACTTGGAAAATATAATCACAATTTAAAATTAACTCTTTGTCTCTAGGTTGAAGAAATGCTTTGAATTGCATATCTCCCCTTAACCACAGGTGATATTTCATAAGTTTAAAGCACAGTCTCAAAAAAAGGGCACTTTCAAATAATTTTCCATGCCTTCATGCAGCAGGTAACCCAAACCTTCCTAATCCCCAAATGCTGCACTTCAAAGTTATGCTCAGGGAAAAAATATTGAAAAGAACAGCCTTTCTTTCCAGTTGATTTAAAACATCACTAGCTTATTTTCAGTCCACATATGGAGTTACTTTTAAAGAGAAATCTTGGAATAATGCCAGGCTACATACAGGAAAGTCTTGTCTCCAGAGAGAGCTAAAATTCATTATCTGAGCTTTGGGACGCCCATGTTCCTTCAGAATGTGGACATACCTTTGTTCCTCTGTGATTAGTGATAGGAGTTTGACTTAACAGAAGAGACTACTCCATGTGTACTTGGAGTCTAAAGAAACCAAATGATTGTGTTATTTTGAATCGAAACTGATGAATAATCACACACTTAACGATTAGTTGTGTGCTAGTTTTATAACACACTACAGAGTTTTTTGAAAGTTGAAGTTATTTACAAAAATGTAACACTAGGTAAGTATTTATCAGTCACATAGATCAAAGGTAAATTTTAGACCTTTTCTTTTCTTTCTTTTCTCATTTGGTAGTTGGCTTCTCTCATTTAAATCCATCTATTTTTTTTTAAGAACATATCACTATGTCCAAGGAAGCAAAGGACAATATAATTATTTCATTATTGCTGTTAGTGACCATTTTATGATAATAACAACTCAAAAAGTAGGTCTATGTTTGATGCATGAAATAAACCTATCAAAGCGAGCAACAATGTTACAAGTTCAGAATGAAACAATTAAAATCAACATATTAACTTCAGTAACAACCTGTAACATTCCATTGTCAAATATCAAAAAATGAAAATTATTTTTTAGATTTCTTATATATGTTTCCATGTATGAAATACATTTAAGTCCCCCCCCCTTTTTGTGAAATGGTAAAAAATCCCAGTCCTCATAATTGTTGAGAAGGAGCCTATCAATACAAAACAACTAATACAATTAACATAAAACAAATTAAGTAGACACAGAACATGTCCTACATATGCAGTGCTAACATGGGCAGTGAATCCATACATTGAACGGGTGTTAACAACTGATTTTTAAAATCCACCAACCATGTAGAAATAATAACTATATTTTGTTGTATGCTAACTTAAAAAGCTAAGTGATTCCTTTATCCCATTTTTAATTATTAGGAGAGAAAAATCTAGAAATGCAGAAATCACTGAAGTGAAGAGAAAGCTTGAGTATGTCAGGGGCGGGAGGGCATTTTCTATTACATGTGAGCACTGCCTGTCCTAGGAGTTTTTAAACACTTTGATTTTGTCCACAAAGAAGGCCTGGACACTTTCTGCATCTGCATAATTTGAAAAAATCGGGCATTATGAACTTAGTGAAGAATTATTTCAAATAAAACCAAAGCACAAGCTCTATTTGAAAGACTGACGGAAGGACCAGGCAGGAGACCTTCAGTGAAATGGATTAGAGCGCTCTGAGCTGCAGCAGATCAGTGACCAGTCCAAGTTATTGTAGGGCTGTGGCTCTAGGAGGAATGAGCCCGGATCACCTGAGCACCACAAAGCCTAGGCCATATTTTTATTTCCCGCCTCGCCTCTGTGCAGCTTCCAAGCATGCGGGTTCGGCTGATTTCAAAGGCAGTGGGTGAGAGACACACAGGAGACAGGACTGTCCTGCCTCAGCCATGCTCAGGCCCTCCAAGGCCACTGATTCTGGAAGCGTATGGAGAAGAGACCAGCTACCTTCTTCATGCTAGTCCCTCGGACATGTGTCCAGTTTACCATAGCCAAGGATTCTCTGTGTCTGGAAAACTACAGCACGCTTCCTCCCTTCACTCCGAGGACTCATAAAACCCGAATGAAACGTAACTGTCCAAAGAATTCATTCCAGCCATGTTAACATTTCAAGAATGAAAATAAATGGAACTATGAGATCTGAATAATTTTATGATATTAAATGTAATAATAGTTTACAATGTTTAAACACCATTGTTAATTTTTAAACTGTGATTTCTAGAAAGTGTACATAGCATGAATCTGGGGAATAGCTACATAGTTTATTACTGAAATCTGTGTTTCTGATTCTAAACTTGGAAAAGCTTTCTAATTAATATTTCTCCCATATTCTTTATATGGAAACACCTTTTTATTCCTTGGAAGGTATTTCTTATTTCCACTTAAATAGAGTATGTATTTATATACATTTAAGAGACACGTCCATTTATAACACTCTAGTAATGTGTTTTGGTGTCCAAACTATTTTTAACTAACCCATAATTGGGCTAAGATTTTCCAAAATAAATAAATACCTATAGTTTTGTAAATCATAAATAACTAAACTATCATTATATTAGAAAAAGAGTGATATAAAGCTATTGAATGGAATACATTAGGTTAGGAAACAGTAGAGGTATGTGCTACAAATAGCTAATATATATTGAAAACTTACCATGATTCTATCGCTATGCTATGATATGCATGATCTCATTTAATCATTGGGACAATCCTGTGAGTTAAGCAGCATTCTACCCCATTTTGCAGAATCTGAAACAGAGTTAGAGGGTAGGTAAATGACAAGATTACACAGAGGGCAAAGCTATAACTTAGACCCAGACCAATCTGAATGGGGAACACTGTTCTGGTAACACAATGGTGACTGGGAAAATTCTAAGGCATGACTTCCAGGTTAGAGAGGGTGTGCAGTTATACAATAAATGCTTATTTAATTGGGTTTATCATGTGTATCCTACTCTGACACTATGGAGCCTCTTTTGTGTGGCAGCCATGTGCAGAGTGCAGAGATCAGAATATATGATCCTGGTCCGCACAGAGTGAACCCTGGAAAGCAGACTTTTTTTTCTGTGAAGGGCCAGATGGTGAGAATTTAAACTTTTGGGATCATATCATATCTCAAAATGAATTGTCTCTGTCATTTTCAGCATGAAATTTGCCACAGAAAATCTGTTAATGGATGATCATGGCTATGCCCCGATAAATCTTTATTAAAGACTCTGAAATTTGAATTCCATATCATTTTCAGGTTCACTAAAATGTTATTCTTGTTCTTTTTCCCCCCCAACAATTTAAATGTGTAAAAATACATGGTAGTTCCCAGGTCATACTAAAACAGGTATTAGGTTGGATTTGACCATAAACCAAGGTTGACCAACTCACCACATATATGGCTATTGAATATTGAAATTTAGCAAGTCCAGTGGATATGAGCTGAGAGTATAAAATAAACACCAGATTTTAGACTCTTAGTATAAAAAATTATAAATGTCCCATTTAAAAAAAATTATAAATGTTTCATTTATAATTTTTATTTTGATTATATTTCTAAAGAATAAGCTTTTGATGTGAATTAAATGTTATTCAAATTAAATTCACCTGTTTTGGGTTGTTCCCTTCCCCTCCCCTTTCTCTTAAGTCCTAGAAAATTTAAAATCACACATGTGGATCATATTATATTTCTATATATTTCTACAATGCTACTTTAGAGGTAATAATATTTGGAGGTAAACAGATACCTGCTATATATAGATTTGTAAGAATTTAATGATTTATTAGATATTGAAGTAGAATAAAGAAGTCATTAGAGAACGATTGTAAAACCTGATCGAGTTTCAAAAGTAGAATAAATATTTTCCAGACAGAAAAAGGAAGCAAGACATTTGAGATGCAGCTATGTGTTAGTGTATGCCAGGGAAATTAAACATTGCTTATTGCTTGAAAATAAAATGTGATAGGAGAATGGCAAAGCATGATGGTCCACCAGATCATGATGAAGAAGATCACGGTGAATGAGGGTTCTGTCTGCCGCACTGAGGATATGAAATTATATCTGAAAAATGAAGCCACTGGCAGGTGTTAGGCAGTGATGGGCCCTGCCAAGTCACCCGGAATTGCCAGGATAGGTGGTTAAAGGGCCAGAAGACCCATAAATAAGTCTCATGGTTCTAGCTTGTGTTATTGGGAGAACAATAATATCACATAATTGATGACAAATAAATGTAGCCCTAGAGCAGTGGTCAACAAACTCATTAGTCAACAAGAGCCAAATATCAACAGTACAACGACTGAAATTTCTTTTGAACTTAAATTTTTTAAACTTAAACTTCTTCTAATGCCACTTCTTTAAAAATAGACTCGCCCAGGCCGTAGTATTTTGTGGAAGAGTCACACTCAAGAGGCCAAAGAGCCGCAGTTTGCGGCTATCCTAGAGAATACTGTTTTCTGTGGCATGATTGTAGGTTAATTGACTTTCTCAATTCATGGAGGGTGATATAGGCTGAGAGAATGGGGAAAAGTTCAAGTTTAGACACATGAGAACTTTGCAATTGAATAGCAGTAGTTTTTCTGATATGCGGACATTTTAGCTTAGAGCTCAAACAGGACTGAAGAGGGTCATAGACTCACAGATGCTGAAAATTGCCAAGTTACTTAAGTTGGGAGTCAGTCACTTGCCAGGTGCTCGAGTTCCTTGACTAACAGGCATTCTGCACAGGCATCTCCAGGAAGACTGAATGTTCCCAGTAACAGGCAGGTCATCACCACTGCGATCTACAGGCATCATGACTATCAGAAAGTCATGCTCTGTGCTTAACATCAAACTCAGGAACCATTCAGAAATCCTTCCACAAGCTGGGCCCTCACCACATTTAATTTCAGGAATCCTAGTTAGCTATGCATTTTCCAATGGCTGCTATTATATGGATGAGATAAATCACTGGTAATTAGAATGATCCCAAGGACAGAATTCTTTATTGGAGGAGTACTCAAAAAGGGTAAAGTTGCATGGCCAGCATGACTCAGTGGTTGAGAGTCCACTTATGAACCAGGAGGTCATAGTTCAATTCCTGGTCAGGTCACATGCCCAGGTTGCAGGCTTGATACCCAGTGTGGGGTGTGCAGGAGAAAGCCGATCAATGATTTGCTCTCATCCTTGATGTTTCTATCTCTCTCTCCCTCTCTCTTTTTCTCTCTGAAATAGATAGATAGATAGATAGATAGATAGATAGATAGATAGATAGATAGATAGATATGAAGAGTAGAGTTATATATGACCCTTTTTTTTGTGGTGAGCATGTCAGATGGCTCATGACTTCAAATACCAATGGGGCATCTTGACCTTGATTGTCTGGCCTGCTCTTCAAGCCAAATATGCCAATAGAAGATTTTTCTTCTCCAACTGCAAAAATGATGTCCTTTCCTTTTTATGGGAAATGACACAATCATGTCCATCGGGCACATCAAGTTAAAAGATTTTAACTCAAAAGACTAAGGCACTATTATTCTTTTTAACTATCAAATCCTTTCCTTCTGCCTTTTCTGCAGCCATTTTCTTTTTATTTAAATATATATTTTATTGATTTTTTTTATAGGAGAGGAAGGGAAAAGGATAGAGAGTTAGAAACATTGATGAGAGAGAAACATCGATCAGCTGCCTCCTGCACACCCCCCACTGGGGATGTGCCCACAACCAAGGTACATAACCCTGACCAGAATTGATCGTGGGACCCTTCAGTCCACAGGCTGACGCTCTATCCACTGAGCCAAACCAGTTAGGGCTGCAGCCGGTTTCTTATTCCATAATTGTTTTTCATGGTTTTTATTGTCTCCTCAATCAGAGCTGATTCTTCGGTCTTCCTTAGATACCCCTTTCAGCATCTGGCCTTCAGGAGAGGTGTTTCACTGTGTACCTTTGTTACCCCATGGTCCCGTGGACAGCAGTGGTTTCCAGGGCAGGAAGTCCAAGGGGCAGGAAGGGAGACCCACCGTCTAAGCCCTGGACTCTATTCCAATGAGTGTGGTTCTTTTTCTTTTTTTTTTGTGGACCTGCAAGTAAGACTTCCTTTACTGTTATTGTTCCACTGTTTAGAAACTTGGCCAATTATTTCATCTGGCTTCAAAATACTTACCAACTTAATTTTCCTCCTCATTTCTCTTCTCATGGAGTTGTAACAGATGGTAAAATAGAAGATTCTGTGGAGAAAGAAAAGTGTAAAAAAAAAAAATTGAAATGCAGAATGTACCAAGGACAAGGAGAGTTGTGCTATTCTGGGGGTGTGGCCCAGATCAGAGACATGAGGAAGGGATGTGGTTGAGAGAGTTGTAAGGTCACATCTTCAGAGAGAAATTATCAATGTTACTATTCCCTTTTCTAAAGTTGGGAGGGCTGTGGGTACTACATTTTTATCTCATGTCTTGTGAGAGGGCATCCAGAAGTATGTGGGAGGTGTCTGATAGGTGTTCTTAAACCTAAGTGGGGCCAGGGGAGTGGACTGGTGCCTGATTCATCCCTGTGAAAACTGTAAAATACAAACGGAGGCAAGCCTGGCCGGTATGGCTCAGTTGTTGAGCATCAACCCACGCACCAAAAGGTTGTTGGTTTGATTCCTGGTCAGGGTACATGGCCAGGTTATGGGCTAGATCCCCATTAGGGGGCATTCAGGAGGCAGCCAATCTATGTTTTTCTCTCATTGATGTTTCTCATCTGAATGGCTCAAAAATAGAAGTGTTGAACCCAGTTTCCCACCAAAGATGAGGGAGGAAGTAGCAAATTAAGGCATTCAAATTTTAGTTGATAAACCCTATTAATATTCCAAAATCAGATATTCTTTAGCTCCAAACAATGTAGAATCACAATACATTCCTAATAATAACAATAACAAAAATGTAAACTTTTATAGAAACTTTTATTCCAAGAGTGAAACCACTTAGGTATGCAGTAATAAGCTAAATTTGAATCTAAAAGCATATGACCTAGTCCTTAATTTTGATTGCCTATACTGTTTAAATCTTTGTTTTCTTTTGGAATTTAGCATGCTTCAGAATTTTTCCCTTCAATATTAATGTATTTATCCCATTTGAATTCAGCTATTTTAGAAACTCATATGATGGCCTGCTAATTGCACTTTGATAATAATACTGCTCTTTTCAATATAATTACAAATATCTGTTATGGCATCTTTTTTAAACCAATGTTAATAACAATCGTGTTTGTTCACACAGAAACAATAATAGCAATATCACTAAGTTGAAGGAGACATACCTGTGTCCTTTTATCATAAGTTTTTATGCCAAAGTCTCTTTTGGTTTTTCTGGGCTATTGGCTATTTGTGTACCTTATAGTTTCAGTTTTCAGGGTTATATTTTTGTTTGTTTTGTTTGTTTTTAATGCAGTAGGTGAGTTGCAATATCAGAGTTAATCCTCTTAGAAGAAGGAATTAGTTCAGGTATTGAGATTGCTTAGGAATTCTGAACAAAATAATATGAGATGCCTAAATTTCCAAACCATAAATAATAAACTAAAGGTTCGGAAGTTGACCTAGAAGTATTTTAGAGTTTTGTTATACAATAATAAGATTTTTCTCTCTGATTCATTTGAGCATTTTTGTTTAAAAAATTACTCTAAAAATATGGTTTTGTGTGTGTTTTTTTCATATCACACACATGCGAAACTTTACATACTGGAAGTTTGTTGCTAAAAATGTTATAGCATTTTTCAATGAATTCAGTAATTTTTTATTATTTCAGTAGTATGAAGGAGATTGTGGGAAACATTGAAATATTATCAATATATTTCATATACTCTTAATTCATTCACCAAATACTTATTGAGTACCCGGTATGCAAGGTGCATAATTCTAATTTCAAGGGATTTAAAGACAATATTACCCACTGCATGGATTTCATATTTCAGGAAAGGAATATATCCCAGTAGCACACTTCATTTTTAAATTTTTTCATTGACTTTGAGAGAATGAGGAAGGAAGAGGGAGAGGGAGAAAGACATTGATCAGATGCCTCCAGCATGCCCTCTAAGGCGGGGAGGAGGGGGGCATGTCTAGCCCGCCAACCAGGCATGTGACATGACCTGGAATCAAACTGGCAACCTTTCGGTGCACAGGATGACACCCAGTCAATGGAGACATACCGGCCAGGGCTCCAGTAACACCCTTTCAAGTGAAACATTAAAAGAACTACACTAGAACCATTCATTATGCATTGTTTGATCACATTTTCTGTTAGTTTCAGAGTTCTGAGTGTGTTCTTAAAATGTCAAAAGCAACTAACTACTTTTGATGATTAACTTTCCTCAAGAATGTGAAATAAAAAAAAAACACAACCCTGAAAACAAATATCTATACTTAGGTCTACATATCCTACTCAAATTGAAACCAAAGAAAGTTTTAGCCGCAATTTTAAAGTACCCGAGAAGTCACTGCTGTGCTGGCGGGCATTCCTGTAATGTGATTTCTTTGACTTCTCTTGGAGAAAAAGAAACCTTTTTTTCGAAGGCACTTCAATGTAGCATGTTAATTCAGCATTAATTATAGAACATGTCAAACTGCATTTCAGTCAAAGCTCCCTGTAAGTCTCCAGAGCTTTCTTAATGACAGTAATTATAGGTCATAAAAAGAGTCGTCTGGAATTAACATTTCTCGCATGTCTTGATGGGAAAATGTACATGGCTGCACCGTACAGATGTTTTGATTAGTAAAATTTACACTTCCTTTCTGGTTTCAATGCCTGTCAAACTCCCCGCGCTGCGCAAGTCCTCGCTCATCTCTGGGAGGAGATGAAGGAGCCTCGGAGGTGGTTGAAGTTCTGAAAACGCTGCAGTGTGTGATTTTCTCCCGCACCTCAACAAAAATAAACCAACAGCTTCCTCCTCAATACATGCAAGGATTCTTCTAAAAGATGAGCAACATAAAAGTTCTTGGCTTCTAGAAAACTTCCACAAAGGAGGTTTGAAGAATTGCATTTGATGTGCGCGTCCTAAATGGATCTATTCAAATGGAGAAGAGCATGGAGTCAACTTATATGCTGACCGAAGTCTCCAGGTAAACCACGTTTCATCACCTGCTATCGGAAAGCACACACGCAACGTGCTCCGTTCTGAACTGTCCAAGTTTTCTTACGAGGAAATGAGAATGGAAACATCCAGGTTTAAACAATGTTAATATCATCAAACATCCAGGGAAATATAACAAATTAAAAGAGAATCACTTCGAAGAATAAAAGGCCTACACCGTAAGTAATAATAAATCTGATACTTGACATTCATCTCCCTGGAAAATAAAATTAGGTAAACTTGTGCAAGGGCATTCGGAACCTCCGATGCGGTTTATTAATAATTTCCTGTTTTCATATCAGAAGCTCATATGATCTGGTGGCAGCCACAGTAGACCTCCGCCGATATTTAATAAAGCTGCCATCCATAATCCTCTCTGATTACCTCTAACCTTCCCTCTAAACAGACACGGTGCAATCACCCCTCTGAAGGACAGCACCGAGTCACCTGCTAGGCTGTTTGACAGCTTATTCTGCTGCATCAAGCTGGCACAAAATTACTTTTTCCAAATCCATCTCTAGTTAATAACCAAAAGTAATAATGGTGTTCAGCATGTGTAATATCCCGAGAAGGCAAAATGAGGCAACAGAGGGGGAAAAAGATTAGAGAGCGATTATCATGGAAGGAAGATGAAAAACAGAATCTTGTAACACAACAACGTTTCTGTTGCAATGCCACGTGGCGAGGTCTCCGTATCACAGGACAAAATGTGCAGTGTGGGCCGGGAGACACGGAAGACAACACCTATTGTACTTGCAACTAGGCATGTGGCTATTCTCGTTCACACAGGGTGGCATTTGAGCATTCTCTGAGTTATTCTGAGACATTCTCTTGGGAACAAGAAATGACTCACCTTTAGTGGAACATGTCTAGTTAATGGAAATGTATTGCTTTGCTCTCACCTATGGTTTGTAAAAATAATAAGGCATTTTGCTTATAGAACAGATCAGACTAACCTTAATCCAAATTTACAAGCACACCAAATCCAATTCAATCTATTTTAAAAAGATGAAACACCAAATTAAAAGTCTGAACCCTCAGTTGAAAAAAAAAATAGATTTTTTTTAATCATATAGGCAGGGTCCAGTCAGTATATACATTTGTTCTCATTAATAACAGCTGAATGACCTTGTTATGGGGCTGAGTCTGGCTGTGACAATTACTAGGGAAAAGGTGAACATGTTTCCTTCCTTTCTTAGCTCCTTGCTTTCTATTTTTATTTTCTTCTTACTTCCCACCAGTTCCTCTCACTTTGTTTTTCTCTTCTTTCTCTTTGCCTGTTTCTCCCACTTCCTTTTCTTCCCTCTTTCTTTCTACAATATTTTGCAGTAAGGCTTTATATATTTTACACTGGAGTCCCAGTGCACAAATTTGTGCACAGGTGGATGTCCCTTGGCCTGGCTGGTGATTGGGGCTGATCGGGGCAGTGGGAGGTTAGTTCAGCTGAAGGGCCGCAGGAGGTTGGCCAGCCAGCTAGGGGGAGGGGGTTGCAGGAGGTTGGCCAGCCAGCTGGGGGGTGGGGCCTGCAGGAGGTTGGCCAGCCAGCTGGGGGGAGGGGCCTGCAGGAGGTTGGCCAGCCAGCTGGGGGGAGGGGCCTGCAGGAGGTTGGCCAGCCAGCTGGGGGGTGGGAGCTGCAGGAGGTTGGCCAGCCAGCTGGGGGGAGGGGCCTGCAGGAGGTTGGCCAGCCAGCTGGGGGGTGGGACCTGCAGGAGGCTGGCCAGCCAGCTGGGGGTTGGGGCCTGCAGGAGGTTGGCCAGCCAGCTGGGGGGAGGGGCCTGCAGGAGGTTGGCTGTGGGAACGCACTGACCACCACAGGGCAGATCCTGTGTTGAGCGTCTGCCCCCTGGTGGGTCAGTGCTCATCAAAGTGACCAGTTCACCAGTCTTTGGTTGTTTGGTTATTCAATTGTTTGGTTGTTCAGTTGTTCAGTCACTTAGGCAACTAACATACTACCTTTATAATAATTCTATATTCTAAATGGTCTCAGATCTAAAAAAAAAAAAAAAAAAAATCATGATTAAGTTAAAGCCTTTTTTTAAAAAAATCAAAGATATCCACATATGTTTATATTTCACATATATATAAATAATGGGACCACACACACACATACACACACACACACACA